CCATTAATCCTTATCCAGTAATGTACCTTAAATACATTGTGCATTTGATAAAGTTTAATATTACAAATGTGATTGTTGAGTAATAATAGGTTAAACATATCCATCGAACCAATATTTTTAAAACGCGTTAATCCTATAGATTATTATTACATCGATTCAAGAAGATCGGTCGCTCGCTGCGCTGCAGCGCGTGAGTTGCGGGGCGTGGTCTCGCGCGGGAGCGGGGATAAGATAGCTAACCGCGTCGACCCGAACGGGCAGACACGTGAGGGCAGACGTCGTTGTCACTTGTGCGCGCTAAGAGAATTTCATCGTTCCCATTTACTTCTTTCGCAAGTCGAATTTGGCGTTGAGACTTTTTAATATTGAATTGTACCTATTATAAAAAATAAGTAAGTAGGTATACTGGTTTAATAGGTGCTATTAAACCGGTCACGTACTAATAAATCCCCCAATAATATAAATTCCTTTGTTTTTGGTGCAAATTTTAGTGTTTCGTAGCAGGTTTTTAAAATTTCTAAAGCTTATTGTATATCATCTAACAATGGATACTTTAGATAATACGTTTTCCTACATTCTGAATTATAATAACTATATCGAAGATGATGTGGTTCGCGCATTTCATGAAAAGTTACTTCGGTGCACATCATTTAGACCGCGTGAGCTAGAATTATTTCAACACCCTGAACTGATTGAACCTGTACCTAAAAATGAGACGCACCTTCAAGTAATTTATGACGGTGACGTGGGATTAGTGGGGCACTGGAGTTGTATTTATTACATTAATGGAATACTGCGTGTGTACGATAGTCTTGTTGGTGTTCTAGGAAAATCGCAAAAAATATATGTAAAAGCCTTGTTTCCGTATCTATCGGAGTCATGTATTCAGTTTCCAAGTGTTCAGCGACAACCGAATACTATTGATTGTGGTTTGTTTGCCATTGCTTTTGCCACCTCTTTAGCTCGGAATATTTATAAATACATATATAAAATTAATATTCATACATAAAAGTACAAGGCAAAATATCGGGAGAGTTTAGGCTCCATTCACCAGGTGTATAAATTGACATAATAAGTTTATTATATTTGCTGCTACGGAACCCTTTGTGCGCGAGCCCGACTCGCACTTGGCCGGTTTTTTTCACTAATATCGTGATGATAAGTTTCTTTGTGGTAGTGTTTTTAGTGTGATAGTAGCTACCGTTTATTACTTAAATTTTTGAAGCATGTTCAAAGTTTTGTCTCTGGTTATATATAAATCACACTTAAGTGTAGGTTTTAGAGGGATGTACTAGAATAATATTACAATTCTGCTGAGTTTTAAGACTAAAGTTGCGTTACTCCTGACACTGACAAGTCCTCTCCAATAAACGCCAGCGCCAATGAAATAAACTATTCACACTGCGGCCGCACATCGCATGTTCCTCTCAACTTTGCCTGGGCAATACCCACAATACCCACACGCAACTCCGAAATACGACGCAATTGTTGGTCCTCTAAGCCAGAAGTTACTGCGATAGCGACGTTTAAATGCAAGACCGGCTGTTCTTAAATCACCCTTGCGGGGATCGAATAAACTAGAGTCGAATTAACAAGTACGCCTGATGTACTGTTAGTACGGTAATACGGGTACTGGTCAGTGGGGTGTAAAGGGTTAAGGGATGAGAATTGCGTTATTTTTAATCACAATTGAAACTGTTAAGAGATATTGAAGTTATTCCTTTGGATGACTATTGGTTTAGGAACGTGGTTCCTTAAGGTCTTCACAAATTGCCCTGAATAAAACTCTATTTTTATTTAATCAAAAAATAAATTGATTAACTTTGAAATATTGATGTGTAAAAAATATCGATCGAATTGTGAATGTGGTAATTACACAGTAATTCATTAGTGAACCGGTTATTAATGACTTGTTGGGCAAAATAATATCACAGTACGTAGAGTATGTAGACACCTGACCTAAATATTCACTGAACCATCAGAAGTACTGTACTGACTGAAATGCAATGTATGTATGTATAGTTTACAATAATACAAATACCTATTTGCAATATTAATAGAGTAGACAAGAACGTTTCGTTAAATATAAAAAAATCAGGGTCTGGATTCGTAACTATTTAACGAATATTTAGAAAATGATTTATTTTATTTTATCACTGCAGGCCCCAACAGGTTCGATTTCAGATTGTTTTATACATATATATATTCTCTTACGCTTCGAAGATGCGCTAGAGTGTCAATTGCTACATAGGTAGATGGAGAGGGCAAGTTATAAGTACCAGTTTCTGGTCTTCAAGTCAGTGTGGGGGGTACTTACTTACAGGGTTTGTGGGTCCTTTGTTGTCTGTGACCTTTTTGTCTCTTATGATTTTTGTATCTGTGATAAACAGACTAAATGAAACCTGTTTTGAGACAAATAAATACTTTCTATTCTGTTTATTTATAGGTATCAAGTATTACACAATTAACTTCAGCATCGATGACTTAACCCTTTGTCCGCTTTCACTCACCACTTGCGTCCAATAATAAGAGTGGGAATGGACATTCGCCTGTCGGCAGCGGCTGGATATGGGACGGACAAATTCTCTTTTTAAAAGTTATTATAATGGCTTACATTTTCGCCGTGTGTTATCATCATAGGTACTTCCCTAAAAAAATATTTTTCAGCCAGCAGGTTTCCATTTTTAATAGGTGACGTTTAACCCTATATCTGGCACACGGTCGACGTAAGTGTACAATTGACGGTTGTGTGCTGTATGTGTTGCAGCCATGTCCCGTGTGTAAGATAATTGTACACATAAAGAAACAGGGCGTATATTTTACATAACAGGCATATGAAAAGATTAAGAAAATGTGTGTGGATATTATTATGTTTTTAATTAATGAATAATGAGTATACAAATGACTAATAATGTCGTTAACCCGGTATGCTAAATATGCTTGTGTCACGAGTGAGTTCACCATAAGAGTCGAGCGGCGCGGGGATCGAAGATCTAACCCGTGTTTCTCGGATCACGAGTCAGCCAGTCTGACACCTTCACCGTTCGGGTATCGTCGCTTATTTGGTTCCTTTTTGTTTAATTTAATAAAGTTTGTCGTGTTATAAATTACATACTTTCATTATAAAATTTTTCTTATAAATACTACGCAGGTAATATTCCAATTTACTATTGAAATGGTTTATTGTTCGACCTATATTCCTTTTCTCTATGTTATCTTTAATCACTTATTTTATTTACTGGACATCGAACGATTAAGGGTGGTTATGCCTGTGGTTAGACAGAAATTATGTCAGATAATTACCACTAGAATATTCAATGAACAAAGCACAAATTGTAGTTCCAGTATACAGGGTGTTTTCACATGTTGTCCTAAATAAGACGTCTAAGTGTGAGGCATTCATGTTCCTAAATGATCGGTAAGTACATAATGTGTTTTTTACCCGACTGCGCCAGAAGGAGGGTTTTGTTTTAAAATAAAGGTTACTTGGTATACCGTAGTGTATTTTGGTCCAAACCTTATTTACTTCTAAGTACATTATATTTTGCGGATTGCAACGAAATGAAATTCTGTCCCATCGTCTGTCTTCCCACTCTCTTATAATCTAGGTGTCTTGAAGCGCAAGTACCTCAATTGGTATTTAGTGAGTAACCGTGCTCTTGGATCGTATAATTCTCAGATCATAGAAAGAGAATAGATATGAAGTCGCACGTAACTACAACGAGAACCAGTGTCCCCACATTTCCCCCACCACAGCTCCCACACACACATTCAACTGTGTAAAAACAAAGCGACTGAGAGTCTACGACAACATGTGCAACCGGCTTAAAAGTGCTGTGATTGGCCAGAAGGCATGCCTTATGGCCAATCAATGGCCGCGTGACGTGACGCACACTTAGAAAACGCTAGTGAGAGAACAAAGATAAAATGGAGTCGACAAGATATCGATACTTTAAATCGCTAGGGGCAAGGCTCGAAACTGATTTCACAAAATGCTTATGTATGAAAACCTTTTTATTATTATACGTTATTATTAACTACTATCACGCATTTACTTTTTAATTATGGCGATCTGCGTACCGCATATGTTTATCAAAAATAATGCCTATATTAGGCTTTCAACTAGCTCTTATAGTAATTACATAGTTGACAGTTACTAATTACTTCTACTGTTTTTTTTTTTTTTGTAAAATCTTATAATCGCAAGTAACACATCATTTTTTTATTTAAAATTACAAAATAGAAAATTATAATTTACTTCTATTTATCGATAATAGGAAACCGCATTAGAACACGAGCACGGCACTATGTTACGACCGGCACATGCGGCCGTACTGTGTATTTTCACACGACAGTGGATATCGGAAGAAATTAAATACATTGCGCAGTAGTTGAGCATGACATAAAGTGGTTGCTAACTAAATCGTCAATGTACAAGTGTGTTAGAATTTTTATCACTACTGATTTCGATATAGCAGTAACTGTTACGGCACTGAATTCGTTCGTAAAAATGTTTAGTTTTTTTTTATTTATAAGCAAAATACAAATGGATTTGTAATACTTACATATAGTAAATGACTCCATTGTTCCTGTAGTTCTTCGTTTCACTTGTTTTATTGCACGTAACGACGCATTATCCAAAATATCGGAGAACATTTCCTTAGTACGACTGAATCGCGACTAACCTAGCTACGCGGCCGATGTTCGTTTCTGGGCATATCGCGGAGACACGCGCCACGCCCCCGTTTCACATCTATTCCCTTCTATGATCTGAGGTATAATTACTTACCATCAGGCGTAATTACTATAAGGAAGACTCAGTGATTCAACAGTTAACACCCAGTATTTAATGATTACCTGTTTACATTACTAAGTTAAATTGCATTCACAAAATGACCTCTCAAAATCTAAAACATTGTTTGATAATACACGTTAATTCCAATGATAATGTTAGAATTGCGTTAGTTAATTAATTATTTCTTAACGATGTCTATTAACAAATGATTTGGAGCATTTTAATGCATTAAATCGATTAATAAGTGGCCGCAACTCGGTGCATTCGGTTGCATATTGTGTTGTGAAGGTGCTGTATACTATAGTATAGTTCAACATGATTTTTTTCCGGCTTATTGTATGGAGGTAAGTTTTTTTAAATATATTTTGTGTATGTTCAAGTTTGTCTTTTTGGTGTATGTGAGTGAAAGTTTTTTTGACATTTGACAGCACGTCAGAATTTGGTTAAAGGCTATAGGTATTTTAACTTAAGCATAGTAAATAATACCACGCAAGACCTGTCGCCCTTTATTGACAATTATTTATTTAATGTTTACTCAGCCAGGTAATTTCTCAAATGTAGTGTTATCACCTCGAGAGATCTTGTATAAAGACAGTGAATAGTTTTCGTAAGCATAAAATGGAGTTTATTTTTGTTTTATTTTTGTCTTTTTACCGATAGCTATGAGGAGAGTAATGTAAAGATGAGTTTCGTCGAAGTAATTATGTTTTAACAATAAAGTCGGCTCGTGTCATTCTATCATCATCAGTCGATCAAAAGATATGACTTATTCAAGAAGAAAATATGGAAATAGATTTCCATGAACATTTTTTATGACTAGATACATATCTGCTAGGTATAACCATTGAAGTAATATTACTATAACTAATGAATGACACGTGATGAACGACGCAAGATGTAATCGAGGGTCACTAATTACTAATTTAGTTATGAATGCACGTGATCAATGCGATTCGTAGAAAGTGCAACCTTGGAACAGGTCCTTGAGTGTATATTTTTATAGTCAGTAGGTAGTTATTTGTGTTATTATCGAGTGAATTCCATAAAGTTATTACACCAAGGGGAATAGAGCAAGAAGGAACTGAGCGAGCGAGATGTCACTAGCAGCAACACTGTGTGATAAAACGAGATGCGTGATGGCATCGCCGTCACGTCAAATAGAACCGTTTTTTGTTACTATTTTAGTGTTCGTTAGCATTTATTGGCACCCTGAAAATATGAGCTCTGCGATTTTTTCAAATCTTACGTGAGTGAAATGGTGGATGTAACAAACATCCAGAGATTTAATAGTACAAAACACTGACACACAAATGACATCTAGTGTCATCCAAAATCGGATTCATTTGACAGTTCGTGGTTGTTGCTCTATTCCGAAGGACTACATACGAGTATTAACTTTATGGTGAAATCAGTGTTTCACTCACACTCACTCACAATTGACACTAAATTAAAACCAACTTTTCTCATTTTCAGAATAATAGTCTACTTGGAGTTAGACAGGCCCACGAAGGAGCAGGCAAGGTTAGATCTGTTGATGAAGAGGAAACCCAAGCCTTTCAAGACCAAGCTCATCATAAACGAAACCATGAACATGTATGTGTCTGTTATGCTCTCGTTAGTGGTATTTTTACTGGGCCTGTCTATACCGTTCCACGCCTTGGACGATCCCTGCGAAGGTTTGAGAATCGGTGGATATCTACTTTCATACAAGATTGCTCTGGTCATCGAGCCGTACACAGGAGCGCTAGATTATTTCATTGTGGTGTTCTCCATTATGTTGGTCTACATATCAATTAAGACTGTGTTGGATGCCATAAAACATACGACGATCAACATCAGCCCTTGGCTTGAAAGAGGGAAGTACACCTTACCCCCAAAAAGAAGAAAATCTTTCATTATTAATATTTCAAGGGGAAAATATTAAGGGCGATGTGAATAATGGAGAACATAATCAGGACCAAAATTCTTTCAACATAATAATCAAGCCTATTTGAAAGAACAAGAGAAAGAGATTCACCACGAGTTTGATCTGGGATTCTTGCAATTGAGTGAGATACCTATATGGGTTTTTTTTCTGCCAGAAGATAAAAATAAGCATAGATAAAAACGTAGAATAGAAATTATTTGTGAAGTTTGGACTACCAAAATTAGATAGGTTCTAATATAGTAACTAATAATTAACGAAGGAAGCTTTCAGGCTAAAAGCTTTTTTATGTTTGAAAGTTTTGAGCGATAATATCTTATTATTATTAATCGACTTAAAAAAAGACTTCTCATTTGAACTGTGTGTAAATAGATGACATGTAATGTAGTTAGGTATCTACTTATTTATTTTTTGTTAAAAATATATAGTTATACAAAGAATTGTAGTTTTCTTTTCATATAATTGACCTCAAACACAGGTACACAGTGCCTATACAAATAATTGTGAAGAGCTCTACTCTATAATTATTATTAAATAATTCCACTTAGATACTAATAATTTTTCAAGCTAAGTAAGAACTGTTTGCCCATCAATGAAAACATTACGTTATAGATTGATAACTTGATAAACCATTAAAATTCTAGATTGATATCAGAGTTTGAAACCTGACAACTTCAATGCCACTGAAATTGTGTTACTAATAGTGCAAGAGAAGGTCACACCTAACATGAATGTTATGCTCAAAGTAATAAATAAAGTTAGAGAGAAAATGCAAGATTTATAATAGATAGCGGAAACACACGTTGCGTTATTTCCAACAACCGCCCGATATTTTCTAACGACATGAAACTTATTATTGGAATAGGTGTACCTATGTCCTACAGGTGTACCTGTAGGACATAGTACAGTGTCGCCACACTAACCTTTAGGAATGGGACACTACTGGCTTTTTCTACGTTAATTGATTTCGTGTGCGTTTTTCATAAAAATATAACACACAGAAAGGTACTGTTTTTTTCTAATTTGTGTTTGTATTTAGAGCGGGACAGTGAGCAAAACGTTCCCGTATATTCCCGTTCTTCACAGCGGGTGCATCCTACGTAGAATGTCCATTACAGTTTCCTTTGTGAGAAACTTAGATTTGGTCCTTGACATTCAAGTAAGTTCTAGGTCAGAATAAAGATGGGTGTGCAATATGCATCGAAGAAAGTTTTAATTTTCCTTTTCTCGGATATACTCGTAGACTGTGTACATAGTATGCTATCAAAAGTACTTCTATACTAATATTATAAAGAGGAAAGATTTGATTGTTTTGAATAGGCTCCGTAACTACTGGACCGATTTGAAAAATTATTTTACCATTAGAATTCTACATTATTTATGATGAACATAGGCGGTACGAAGTTCACGTTTCAGCTAATATTGTTATAAAGTTTGTCATCTTAAGTTCACAATCCCTGAAATCAAAAGCTCTAAGAAATAGGTACAGGTAGGTAGTTGTAGATAGAGCTTTCTTAGGACAGGAGATTTTACTATAGAGAGACATAGCAAAGCTGCCATTTGAAAATGACTGAAATTCAGGTTTTATTTGCATTCGTTTACCTACAATCTAGTATGCACTTAGCTTTATGTCGACCTTCGAACATACCCGTGTAAGATCACTTCATAACAGTAGAATACCAGTGTGTGTGTGTTTCTATTCAACCGTTGGAAACTTGCTATAAAATCTTTATTTATTAACGATTTTGCTTTCTCAGTGCGTTGTTTTAATAAAACTTGTTATATTTCTGTACACTATAAAAATGTTAGTAGCAAAATGGCATCTAAGCTTTGAGTATAAGATGCCTTATAGTTTGATGGGTTTCTCTACATATTTGTCGCTTAGACCTCAAGAGGAATTTTATTGGTGGTTATTAAAAAAATAAATGTTTTTTTCTTAATAATTATTATGAAGAAAACATGATAACAAATTAATTTTTTTCGGCAGTTACATTAACCTCTCGCTCGAGTACGACTCTTGCAACAAGTGTTACTGATGAGTGGCATTGCTTTCAATGTTTTATGAAATAATGTTTCAATTTGTATGTCAAAGTGTGAAAATCAATAACAAAACTAATCGATTTGATAGTCGCAAGATAATAGCGTCACTTCATTTTTAATAGATTACTTGTCAATTTCATTAAAATAATGGAAGCATGTAGTGTAGCCGCCCATTGAGGATCATACACGTGAAAGTAGCAACGAAGTTAATACCATCACACAAAGACATCATTTATCAAAAATGATCCAACCTTACTCAAGAGTACAACCGAAAATAAACATTTTAGTCAAATCAAAACTTGAAGAGAAACGTTTGTCAAAAATACTGAGGGCGGTTCTTATTTTTGTATTTGTCATATTTTCTTTAAATTTTGGTGTAGTAAAATTCAAATCATATAAAGTCAATGTCTTGGCAAAGTCATTTTGTGTGCTAGAAACTTTAGGAATTGGGATTGTTCTTATTTTGCATTACATCTACGCATTGGACGATATGGTGATGAAATTTTGGTACTGTACGTATGTCATGGAGTACTTCATCTTAGTATTTACTTTGCTTTTCTTAAATCAAACAACCTTTGTGGATTTCTACGAAGATTTGATGTCGATTGACGCTGAACTGTGTAAATGTACTTACAAAAGACCAGAATTTATAATCATAATTTGGTCTGTTGTATCAATGGCATACAGATCTTTCTTGTCGTTAATATACTGTTTATTTTTTAAAGAATACTGCATTCTATCAGTGTTCTTTATAATTCTGTTTGATGTGCCTTTACTGTGCAGCGATATATTTCTCATAGTATTCTTTATTATTTACTACACGTTGTACTGTCGTATGAAAAACTTTACAAGTCTAGTAAAGAATGGGAATTCTAACATCGTGTCAAACTATTACATGTACAAGTCGATTGCTGATGTCTACGATAGAATCAAAATTCTTTACAATCCCTTGGTAAGCAAGCTTTTTGTATTTACTTGGTTTCATCATGTATGTAGTATTTATTTTAATTAAAATCTTCTTTTTAGTTCGTTGTGCCTCTAGTTTTTCACACAGTTGACATGATGATTACGATTTTTTATCCACTCTTGGATTTGGATCAAAATATGGTGAGTTTTTATTTTTTATTCCTTCATGACTAATACAATTAACTAATTATTGCATTAATATTTCAATGGCCGAACATTTATTTAATGATGATTCTTAAACTCTTAATGCCATTCAACACTACTGTTCTGTACTGTAGTATTCTGAAGAATTTTACCCTATATTATTATGCCCAGCTATGGGATTATGAGATGTTAGATGCCATAACTGTTCCAGAAGTCAGCGATCAGCATGTTGACCGCCAACGTGTCAGTGATCCATGTATTCATCCTGCTGTTTGCGCCAGCGTTCGCTGCAGGTCTACTGACAGCCCAGGTGGAGAAGCTACGACTAGTGCTATTGGATAGACTTCTGCAAGAAAGAGGTAAGATACAGTTTTATTAACTTCAAAGTCTTCAGATCACCAGTTTGGTACAACATATTGCTAACTTATGCCTGAAAAGAAGTCAGGAAACTCATTTACAGGTAATACAGATACAGTATTACAGGAAATACCATTATATTTAATAAGTGCCATCTAGGCAAGTGCAAATCCATGCACTCCTGTCTCTCTTGTTAATTGACTTTCTCTGTGGTTGAGGATTCCGAGTGAAGCTTGCTTCCACCTTTAGCCTGATCGTCACTTTCAATCAGGACGCAAGCTAAGAGTCCTCGTGGTAGAAGAAAAAAAATTGACAGCATTGATATATTTCTCTTAGCTTCTACTTTGTGATTCTCTGATTTGTGATTTTTTCCAGATCAAAAACACACCATCGATATTGAGAGGTTCATCCGCTACATCGAAGCTCGTCCTCTGAAGACTGTCATCTGCAAGGTCATCCACTTGGACTGGAAGCTGCCTGTGTCAGTCGTGAACATTTGCGTCACGTATCTAATCGTTATGCTGCAGTTCACTCACAAATATTGAATATCAAAAACCTTAAAATTAACTACATGCTGTTTTCACATTGTATTCGCTTTTTTTTAAGTTTAAAAACCTGTATAAAAGGTGTTTGTTTACTTCAATAATGTTATCAGGTTTTGTAATCATTTTAACAGCCTCTGTGGTCTAGTGGTAAGACCACCTGCTTCAGACGCAGAGGTCCCGGGTTCGATTCCCAGTGGGGGCAGATTTTACTGGTCGGTTTGGTTGGTGGTAGGGGTTGTTCTAAGTCCGCCTGGCTAGCTCTACCACCATCTTACCTAAGTCTGTCGCCATAACAACAATGTTAACAGCATTGTTGTGTTCCGGCAGTTAGAGGTAAGATAGCCAGTTCCTCCGTGGTTGAGGATTCCGGGTGAAGCTCGCTTCCACCTTCAGCCTGATCGTCACTTACCATCAGATGAGATACAGGCCAAGAGCTTCCTCTTTGTGGATAAAAAAAAAACAATTACTATAACCTGTCAGAACTGTAAGCTAATGGTTCTACTCGTACAATAGTTTTTTTTAACAAATCACGTTAATGCTAAGCTATGAAGCGTTACAATATGTATTAACTATAATATTTCTTTAAATTTAAAGTAACGTAGTAGATATTTCTTTCAAATGCTTTCATGGCATGCATAAGCTATCCTTTACAAACATGCAATGGGTAGCAATTATAACAGTGTATAATTTCTAGGCATGTTTGAATACTTATTAATAATCGATTTCAGGACAGCAACACACATACAATAATGTCATTTGTACCTACTTGTTTGGTTGTATGTTCTACACAAACATAGTGCTCTCAGATAATAAACAGCCTTTTATGTATATGAGCGTGTACACGAAAATACATTATTATTTATTATAATGTTTAATCCGTACCCACAAGTACAACCGAAAATCTTTTTGGTCAAATCAAAATGTGAACAGCAACTTTTATCAAAAACATTAAGGGCAGTTTTAATTTTTATATTGTTCACCCTATCCTTAAATTTTGGTGTAGTGAAATCGAAATCATTTAAAGTGAATTTTTTGGTAAAGTCGTTTTGTGTGCTACATTCATTGAGTTTTGGACTCACCTTAATATGTTATTACATCCAAGAATTTCATGGCAATACGGTGATGATATTATGGAGCTGCTCATATATTGTGGAATTCTTTATCTTAGTATTTACATTGCTTTTCTGTAAACATACAACTTTTGTGGATTTTTACGAGGATTTGTTGTTGATTGATGCCGAAATGCATGAAAGTGATTACTGCAAACCAGAGTATATAATAATAAGCTGTTTAAGTTTCATAGCGGTGTATAGATCTTTATCTTGGTACTTATGCTTTCATTTTTTCCAAGAAACCAATTGTATTCAATCGATATTCTTTTTTTATTTAATAGACGTGGTAAGTAGTGATGTGTTTCTAATCGTGTTATTTGTTATATACTACACGTTGTACTGTCGCATCAAGAACTTTACAAGTATAATAAAAAATGGCAATTCAAATGTCGTATCACACTTTTACTTGTATAAATCGATCGCTGATGTCTACGATCGGATCAAAATTCTTTACAATCCCTTGGTAAGAAGTGAACTTGGAATTATATTTAATTTTGATAGATAACAATTTTTTGACCATAATATTTTTAAATATCCTTCCCAGTTCGTCGTGCTTTTGGTTTTTCATACAGTCAGCATGATGATGACGATGTATTATTCGCTTTTGGAATTGGGTCAGGATATGGTAAGTTCTAAATCTCTGTGTCAACTTCTTGGATTTCCTTTATAAAGATTACAATGTTACTCAACTCTTTTCGTTTCAGCCAAATGACGTCCACTGCTGAACAAAGGCCTATAAGGTTTTCCACAATGCACGGTCCTGCGCTGCCCGCATCCAGGCTCTTCCCGCGACCTTTACCAGATCGTCGGTCCACCTAGTAGGAGGCTTGCCCACGCTACGTCTTCCAGCCCGTGGTCGCCACTCGAGAACTTTTCTGCCCCAACGGCCGTCGTCTCTACGAGCTATGTGCCCCGCCCACTGCCACTTGATTTTAGCAATTCTGCGAGCTATGTCGGTCACTTTGGTTCTCCTGCGGATCTCCTCATTTCTGATTCGATCACACAGGGAAACTCCAAGCATGGCAACTTCACTCTTACTTACTATTATTTATTATAAAACATCCTACTAATATTATAAAGGCGAAATAACTCAATAAATTAGGCATCCCATGAAGATCACTGGAAGTACCTGGATGCGGGACCGGTCGTTGTGGAAATCCTTGGGGTGGCCTTTGTCCAGCACTGGACGTCATTTATCTGAAACGAAAACCAAATTCATTAATTTCTTTTCAATTTTGTATGTCAGAGCCCTCATCACTACACTCCTCAGGATCGTGATCCTTATTAATATTATCCTTCTTTCCTGTATCACAATTAGTACTTTGTAGTTTCTTTAGTCTTTGATCATAGTGTGTTTTTCTGTGGTATTTCACGTTTTTTAAATGCTGCTAAATATTCTCGATACTATGTTTCTTACAGAAGTCAACAATTAGCGTATTACTATCGAACATGTTAATAGTTTATGTGATTATTCTGCTGTTCGCCCCGGCGTTTGCGGCAGGCCTCCTGACGGATCAGGTGCAGAGGCTGCGACTTGTGTTGATAGACAGACTGCTTCAAGAAAGAGGCAAGACACTGTATTTGAACACTTAGATAAGAATAAAGGTCATAGACCGTTGTCAACCGCAAGGCAAGCCGTTCACGTTAGGCGATTATCACACTGCACTGCGCTCCGCCGCGGTACGCGGGACGACAGATTTAATCATTAATATGCAAGTACCTCGGTTTGTAACACGCGCGGAACAACACACTGACAACGCGTTTGCGCGCGGGATTCGTGATGTGAGTTTACATCAAAATGTCCTTACTAGTGAGCGCGTTAAAAAATATATTAAATTTAAGTTCTAGAAAGTTTCCGCTAGGGGCGCTGTACAATCCGTCATAAATCATACATTTAATGTCATTTTTTACGCGCTCACGACGACGTTTGATGTAAATTCATACTGAGCCCTCTGAAGCAGCATGGTAGGGTGAACGTTATTCTGGGATGTATGAAATGACAGTTACATTTCCTAGTGGATCCTCAAACCATCTACATTTTTTCAGGTCAAGAACACACCAGCGACATAGACGGGTTCATCCGCTACATTGACGCTCGTCCTTTAAAAACTGTCATCTGCAAGGTCATCCATTTAAACTGGGAGTTACCATTATCAGTCGTCAATGTGTGCGTCACATATTTAATTGTCATGCTGCAGTTCTCTAATAAATACTGACTGTTCAATTGCAATTCATTAAGTTAGTGAACCAAAATGCACGTGCTATAATTAAAGATGGTACATATCAATTAATAACCAGTCCAGACAGTGTTAGAGTGCCAGACTAAGAACTAGGAACTAATATTGCGTAGGGAGGGATTCATTTGTTACGTAGTACATATTACTAAGTGGCAATTTGTAATCATATGTGCATTGCTAAAGGTAGGTATCTAAATAGCACTATTTGTAACAAAGCACAAACGGCACCACTGAATCGTACAACATAGCACTTGGTGGTTTTGTTATTTGACAGTCACACGATTTTTTTCAGTAATATTAGTAATATAATATATTATTAGATATGAAAAAGATAAAATTAGGTAGGTACTTAGCTTAAGTACTATTAACTTACAAGAGCTATTGTTATTATAAATCTTTGATAAACCATCTATGTATCTAAAATGTACCAATTTTTGTTTAAATATTTTAATCAAAGATTTGTTACCGGCAAATACTGCTTTTCAAATTGGTAAAAAAAAAAACCAATAACGCTGTTTTCCTATGTTTTTAAAATTCATTATGTGATTGCTTATTATGTAAATAGCCATAAATTACATAATAAAACATTATTCTTATCATTCTGATCGAAAATTGATATTTACTAACGCTAAATTCATTTCCTGATGGATTACCTCAAAAATGCCCTGTTTCACTGACATTATTGTTGAATACGTACGTAGGGCAACAAGCAATTTCGACTGTATTTATAAAAATTAAAAACCAAAAATGTTTATAAACCAATACAACAGAAAAACTTTTCAGAAGAATTACAAATGGAGCAAGTACCTTCAAGTACTTTTTGTGCTCTATCACATACTTTTAGCCGCGGATTTCGGATACGTTAGTCGTCCAACGCGCAAAATACAAAAAGCGATATCATACATCACCATGCTGTATTGCATAATTGTCTCCTTAACGAGTATATATTTCTTCTATGTTATCTCTGATGACGTATTTTTATTTTGGTGGTTATTTGGGAACGTGCTGTTATATTTTTTGAACGCATTGATTTTAGTTTTACACGAGCACAAACATTCATTTTATAAACTACAAAAATCGATGATGTTGATTGATTTCAAATTATACGTTGACAGTCGATCATATGGGATCGAAAAAAAGATAATAATAGGTAGTATGTTCGCTCTAACTTCGAAACTAGGTTTTAATTACTTGTTTTGTGTGAATGACGTGGATAACAATGAGTGCATGAATACGCTGTGGGGTATAGTAGTTCATGTGATGCAGCAGATGTCGGCAGATATGGTGATGATAGTTTCTTCGTTCATTTTCTACTCCGTATATTGCCGTTTGAGAGTTTTGAATGTTCTTGTCAAAAATGGTGGGAAAGAGGTGATGGAGTATTTGTGGATCTACAAAAGTATGGCCAATGCCTTGGAGAGAGCTACGAACCATTTTAACATACTAGTGAGTATTGTAATTTTTCCACATGACAATTCAAACTGTTATATGAAATGGAAAGTGTATTGTAAATTCTGGTTCCAGTATATGCTCGGTTTGGTGTTCAAAATGCCGGATATGTTAATTTCAACATTTTTGAGCTTATGGAAAATGAAAGTGACCTACGAATATGTAAGTATGAATGAGTATTGAATAATGCAATTCTTAATTTTGAAAAAAAAAAAATCTTTACTCAACAGCTACCTGTAAGAATACTGCAAAAAATTTGAGAGCCAAGCTTACCAAATTGTTGCAGGATGGAGCCCACCATCACATACTGCGCAACCTTTACATCGTGTACACATTCGTGGTGACGTCATGCCCCGCGGTCACGGCCGGGCTGGTGTCTGCAGCGGTGGAAGACCTCAGGCTCATCATCCATGAGCGACTGCAGCAAGAAAAGGGTTGGTCAAAACAATAATAGTGCAGTCCAGTGTCGCAGAATGCAGGGTTACCAAAGAGATACTGCCCAATCTTTTAGAAAATATTCCTTCTGGATCATTCAGTAGTCCCCTACTAGAGGTTCTATAGGAGGGTAGAGCTTAGCATACTGATTCTGTTTGAAAGCCATCTGTGCATCAGAGCGTTGAGAAGATTATTTTTTCTAGCCCGTTTCATTTTAACTCTTGAGATTGATGATGATTTGTGAAGTATCTTCTACATAAAAATTTAAGTAAACTACGAGTACAACCGAGACTTTGTGCCAAAGATGAAGATGTTTTCATATCATCATAAAGGCTTTATCTTATTTCCCCAGACACATTCCACGAAGCTGACTTGGAGTTGTTCCTAAGCTACGTGGACGGTCGTCCGATGCGGTTCACGGTGTTCAAGCTGCTGCCGCTGGACTGGTCGCTGCCGGTCTTCATTATCAACGTGTGTATCTCCTACCAGATCGTTGTGGTGCAAATCACTAATTTGTTCTAAAGGGGAAAAAGATTAATCAGTTTCAGCCAAAGCACACGAAGCGTTGCGGTAGTGCGACGCCGGAACAGTGTCGCTGCGTAGTTTAAGGTGGCGGTTCGCATCGCGACAGAGACAGGAGACCGAGACGGGAGACCGCGAACGTTACTTGACTTTAGACAATGTATAAGCGACAGTTCGCAAGCGAGACAGAGACACAGGTCTCTGCCTTAGTCAATTAACGGTCGCGGTCTCTCGTCTCGGTCTCCTGTTTCTGTCGCGGTGTGAACCGCCACCTTAACATAATGTAGAAGCAATAATAATGGTGCGGCACCAAAACGTATCGTGTGCTTTCGGCTGGTCTTCCTTGGTCTAGCTCGCTCTTTTCTTATTTGTTCTACAAGAATAGTGAAAATAAGCCATTAATTGCCATTTTAATGTTTAATATAGTGAGTAATAATAATTTAAATGACATTGCTGGGTTTAAAAATATCTACATAACTACATAAAATTTAATAAACAACGCTTTTATCTTACGCCACTTATTTCAGTATTTTTTCTTTTCCATTGATTTTTTACTTTTTGTCCATCTCTTTTTTGGTCTTCTTCTGTTTCTATTAATATAAATAGCTGCATGGTGCACTCATTTTTGAATGTGTTATCTACAACAAGTTTGGTTTCGTCTTTCATGTCATAATCCCAAGTTGTATTGATCCAGCAATAGCTTACTTGAATAATAAATGTAAATGTCAACTAGGTACTTTATTACTTATGGACTCAGTTCTGAACGAAGTGTACCTACCTACCTAATTTTAGTAATTTATAAGAAACGAAATTCTTACGTAGGCAGCTAGTAACTAATGAATTGGAAACATTAATTCTAATTACATAACATTGACCATTTCCATTACAAGTAGTTTGCCTTCAGGCAGAACCTTCTGTTATTTAAAATCTGTACGGATCACAGTGAGTCTAGCCCCAATCAATTTTTTTTGTTCCAAATAATGTATATCCCGACAGTTCCTTCAGTAAAGAACAATTCAAATTCCAAAGTTGACTATTATACAAAAATATTGTTTTTAATCTTCCACATTTTACTTTCTGCGGATTTCGGTTACACAAAAATTTCAAACATCAAACGAAAAAATGTCATCAAATGCTTTACTGTGGTTGAATGTTTGTGTATTACTGCAGTAAGTTATATTATATGCATGGAAAGCATCAAAAATATGCTGCAACCCTTTCAGAGTCTGATGATTCTACTTATAACGGTTTTCACATCAATTCAGTATATTATAAATACAATAGTATTGATTTTATATAACGGTGAAAGTTCATTTTGTGAAATGCAATTATTTTTGCGCAATATTGACACTAAACTATCAGTAGACAGCAAGTCATATAATATGGAATTGAAAATAATATCGGCTTGTGTCTTATGTATAATTTATAAAGTTATTCTGCATCTTATCTTTTGTTCCAACGATACTGATGAGTGTATAGATTCATCGTCAGTATTGAATTTGATACTGTTCCTGCTTCAATTATTGTCGTTTGACGTGATGCTTATTGTGTACTTTTTTGTGTTTTATTCTGTGTACTGTCGCCTGAAGGAGTTCAACAAGTATGTGTACAGCGGCGATGGAACGCGGGTGTTGGAAAGCATGGAGATTTATAAGAGTATTGGTGTCGGATTAGATGTGGTGAAGAATTACTTCGATATCTTAGTGAGTGGATAAAGGAAGAAATTATTATGAACTATTCTCTAATTACACTTCTGTGGCAATTTTTAAAACAAAGACAAATTGAATTTGAATTTGATTTCTCAATTTAACATTAGTAGTGTTTGTCTCATCTTATTTATGTCGTAATTAAATCATTTTATGATTAAACTAGCTTTTGCCCGCGGCTTCACCCGCGTGAAATTTTGTTTGTCACAGATCGTCATAAATTATAGCCTATATGTTATTCTGGGTTATAAATAATAATACTGTAAAGTTTCATCAAAATTCGTTCAGTCCTAGTTTTTGCATGAAAGAGTAACAAACATCCAGACATCCAAACTTTCGCATTTATAATATTAAGTAGGATTCTGGCTGCTGCTTAACACCTCTTTTTGTTATACTGCAGTATATGATTGGCCTGATATTCATCACTACTGATCAGATCTACACCGCGTATTTGGGTCTTTTGAAATTCAAATATGATGGAGAGGTAAGAAAAATACGTATAAAATATTCCCTACTTTTACCTAATAATAAAAAGACATCGAATTCATTCGTACGTTTCCGCCAATGACGTCCACTGCTGGAAAAAGATCTCCCAAGGATTTCTACAACGGCCGGTTCTTCGCTGCCTGTATCAAGGTTCTTTCTGTGATCTTCACCAGATCGTCGGTCTACCTTGTGGGAAGCCTGCCCACACAGTGTCAAGTTCATTTTCATTACAAACATTACATTTTTTTTTTCAAATAAAAATGCATTAACGGAATAAAAACGTAGATATAGTTGAATCTCTGGTTTGGGTGGTCGTGTCAGAATTCATACCTAGGTTTTTTCTAGGGGCACACTCCTCAAATGATCCTGAGGAATCTGTACTCACTGCAAAATTTCGCACTCTTGTCCTCACCAGCTATATCAGCAGGATTAGTGACGGTGGTTGTGGGGGACCTCAAGCTTATACTCTTGGAACGAATTCTTCAAGAAAGGGGTAAGATAAAGATACGTAATTTAGTACAATGTATAAGAAGTATAAGAAATTCAACATTTCCCAGGTCTATTCCACTTTGATCACCTAGCTTTGGTCACCCAGGTGATCAAAGTGGTGTCCTTTGGTCACCCATGGATAAGGTGACCTGGGTGATCAAAGTTGACTCCAGTTTAATTAATATTTTAGTTTTCTTTGATCACCTATAAATAAATTACACCTTCTTTGAATAGTCTCATGTCCTATTGTTGCACTTGCATATTATTATTATTTTGTTTTATAACATTTTTGATATTTTCCAAAAACCGCAACAAAAAAATTTGACATGTACGAGTACTTATGTGACTATTCAGTGCTGTAATTTATTTATAGGTCATTAAAGGAAACTAAAATATTAATTAACCCAGCTACCAGCTAGAATGGTTACATTGTAAGAAATTGTTATGCCTACATCAGAGACGGTCAAGTCCTGGTGAGGTCAAATGACTGGCACAGAATCCTAGCATTAAGTCAGTAATTCGTAATTTTTTTTATGTACAATAAAGGTTAACTAAATAAGTCCACGTGACATAATTTATCACGAATAGGCAGGAACACAAGGAAGGAGAGTAGGTAATGCCAACTGACTGTAAACAGAACAAGTAGCGGATGGACATATCATGGTCAATAAAGAAGTCGATTCGATTAAGTTGGCGACCAAAGTTATATTATCATATTGTCCTTACACATTGTCTCTACAAACAAGGACCTTAATACGTATAGTAGGTACTCGTATTAAGGAGCAATTTGTTTTTCAGATAAAGACCACGAGGTCCACTTGCAGACTTTCCTCGACTACGTCAATGTGCGTCCGATGCAGTTCAAGGTGTTCAGCGTGGCGCCTTTGGACTGGTCGCTGCCGATCCTCATCCTGAACCTGTGCATCTCGTACCAAATCATCATCGTGCAATTCACTAAACTTTATTAGGTGGAAAAATACAATCAACTCATACTTCTTTGTAGAGAGCCTGTGATCTCTTTGTTTTAGTTTTATTTTGATTACCTATATCCAGCATAATAATATTTTAATCGTTTGATCTACAAGTCTCATTTGTATTCTGCTTTTACAATTTTGCTCTGGTTTTGTCAAAAGCCAATTCAAGTAGCTAACCATGTGTCGAGTGAGTTTTGTGTCTGTTAAAAAACCGTTTATTTTTTTTTGTTCAATAAATTCATTATGATTGGAATTAAAAGTTCATCATTCTTGTATGTCATCATTTGGGGTCAGCTATCCTTATTTTTACTATCTATCTTATACTGTTTCTGACTTTAATTTAATTAATCACCATACTTGGGTGACGCATAGAAATATTAATGGATTATATCCAATGAAAGCTGCTTATAAGGAATTTACTATTGGACATAGCTATTTCATTAATCACTTTATTTAATATTTTATCAGTGTTATTAACCAAAGGCCTTCAAACACGTGTATTGACTTCTTCTGGGCAAGCTCTCTTCGGCGTGTATACTACTGAAACCTCCGCGACTGCAGAGTGAAATCCTAATCAATATACTTTAAAGTATAAGTAAAATATACAAAGATGGTTCGTGTAGCAAATATGTCAAATAATTTCAGAAATAGAAGAAATCCAATAAATAAATCCATTAAAGCCTTTTTCATGTTTCTGCATATATTTTTATTTTTAGACTTCGGTTTTTTTAGAAGTTCATCAATTAATTTGAACAGATTTATCTCGGGTATAACTGGTTTCAACTCATTGTGTCTGGTCGTATTCTCATTTGTTTACTTTGAAATTTCTTATGACATGGGGATATTAAATCGCTTCTGGATTTCGTGCGGGTCTCTGCAGTGTTTTATAAGTTCATTAACTCTTTTGAAATTTAACCGTGAAAATTCATTTTATGAGTTACAAAACGCATTGATTTCGATTGATGAAAAATTGACAACCGAGATGTCTTCATACAAGATTTATCGATATATCATTTTAAGTTGTGGCTGTTCCGCATTTTTGAAAATTATGCTTAATGTAGTATTTTGCATCAACAATAAAGAGGATTGTATACTAACGGCCGCTAGCTCGATTTTTTACTACACTGAGTTGATTTCTTTTGACATTATTATGATCATCAACACATTTATCTTTTCTTCTGTGCATCACCGGATCAGTATTTTGAATGTTTCAATTACAAAATATGAAAAAGACGTCCCGTATTTTTTGGACATTTACAAAAATATTTTGCATGCGGTAGAGAGAGCAAAGAAATGTTTCGATTATTTGGTAAGTATTGTGCATATACCGGCACAGTACAAGTACACACAAGTTGGCACAAGAGACCTAGGAGAGTTGTGACAGAGGTGAGTTGTGACAAGGACGATTTCTCCTTACTTAATATAGTTAGGAATAGAGGTGGGCGCCACGCCGGCGCGCCGCCGCCGCCGCGAATTTTTTCACGCCGCCGCCGCCGACGACCAGCTGTCGGCGCGCCGATACTGATACTGTACTATTTGCAATTTATTCCTCTCCTATACTGTACTAATTTGTGTTTCGAACGCAGAAGAACTATTTTTTTGATTGAGTTGAGCGGCTATTCTAGTTGAATAAAGTCCTAGTATCACTACGACCGGTACCGATCTATTATGATCGNGGTTAATAATTTGTTTAATTGCCTGCTGCTACTTTTTTGATTCTGAATACCTAATAACTATACATGAATGCCATATAGAGGAACTGCTTGCTGGAGTCGAAATATAGGACCTGGCTTATGAAGTGATTAGGTTAAAAACGGTTAAAGTTTAAGATACGCTGCGACCTCTTACAATCTAAACTTGTCAAGATATATTAAGAAGAAATAGGCTTATCAAGTAAACCCAGAAGGCGGAGCTCCGTCTATGGATTGTACCACCGCGACTATTTTATTTTTACAGAAGAGGAAGAAAATATATTAAGTGACTATATTAGCTAAAAATGTAATAAATAAATCCAGTGTCGTGGGAGAAAAATGAAAGCTGGAGAAATGTGGCTCAATCTGTGTAACGATATCCTTTAACTATTTGTTTTAATTGTTACTAAAGGATGATTAAAGTACTTTTTTGCTAAAAAATCATATTTGATTGAGTATTATGGTATTTTTATATCTAATAGATGAAATACAATGCGGTAACAACTCACCTCGGTACCTGTCACAACTTACCTCGATGCTAGGAGAGTTGTGACAAAGGAAGTGGTCTAAGATTTTGGTGATTTTCTTAGAAACCCTAATACTTTAGTTAACTTTGGTGATTTTTTTATAAACAGAAGGAACGGTGTTACATTAATTTGTATGATTCATAGCTGTAGAATGTTTTTTGAGCGAGATATGGCCCCTAAAGCAAAAATTGTCACAACTCTCCTAGGTCTCCCCTACCTATGAGTTTGTGTCGTTGTCTGGTTGGATCCTTAGACCCCGCAGGGCTAGTCTCTAACATATTTAATTGTAATTATTGTTTCAGTATGCGTTTGCGATATTGACAGTTGTTCCGAACTTGATTATAGAAGTCTATTCGAGCTTAATTGTAGTAAAGAAGCAGAGTGATATGGTATGTTATATGTATAACAAAGTACTATTACCTAGACGAAATAAAAAATATATCTACATTGACACTGATATTGTTCGTTCGTTCGTTCGTTTCAGCCAAATGACGTCCACTGCTGGACAAAGGCCTCCCCCAAGGTTTTCCACAATGAACGGTCCTGCGCTGCCCGCATCCAGGCTCTTCCCGCGACCTTTACCAGATCGTCGGTCCACCTAGTAGGAGGCCTGCCCACGCTACGTCTTCCAGCCCGTGGTCGCCACTCGAGAACTTTCCTGCCCCAACGGCCATCGTCTCTACGAGCTATGTGCCCCGCCCACTGCCACTTGATTTTAGCAATTCTGCGAGCTATGTCGGTTACTTTGGTTCTCCTACGGATCTCCTCATTTCTGATTCGATCACGCAGGGAAACTGATATTGTATCGTTAAGAAATAAACAAACGTAGGTATATTTTATGTGTTGGTATCAAGTATTAAGTAATGATCGATATATGTCTGTTTCAGAACCAAGTTCACACTATTGTCGTGAGCTTTGTGTATACTATATATGGCTACGTTCTTTTGAGTGCTCCTGCGATTGCAGCTGGTTTGGTGACGTCATCAGTCGAGGAAATAAAGTTGACATTGCATGATAAACTTCTAGTTGAAAGGAGTAAGTATTTATCTTTAGTGAAATTATTTTTATTAATTTACATAGTTTATTATAATTTCGTGGTCCATGAGAATTTTGTTATCAATCTCAATAGATTCACGACGGTAAATGGAATTGAACATTTGAAATCCAATTGTATTACAATGATCGACTGGACTTAAATATTCGACACAATGTTTAGTCTAAATTAAGTTCAATAAAATTGTTTTTATAGATGAAGACCGAGAGAGTTCCCTGGAAGACTTCATCACCTACATCGACGGGCACCCCATGCAGTTCACCGTGTTCAAGATCATCCCCCTAGACTGGACCCTGCCGGTCACCATAATCAATCTGAGCATCAGTTACCAGATCATTATTGTTCAGATCACCAAATTATATTAGTTGAAGTACCTAGTTATAATATATTGTGGTGTGTCATAAATTCAAAATGTCCACTTAGTAAGAATTTCACTAAAATCTTCATAATTTCACAAAATATAATTAGAATTTTTAAATGGGTATTTTCAAATTTATTTGGTTCCTATCCTTTAAACGAAACATTACGAACAAAATATACATTTCGATAATTTCATCTAGTTTCAAGTGACTTTACCTTTAATTAAAACTTAATAAACCGAAGGTGTTTCAAATGCTAATGGATTAAAGGACAATGACCAAAAGTGGTCCAAATGTCCACCACTAATGAGACCTATATTGGCTTATAGTCCATTAAATAGAAATTAACTTTCAGTATGGGACCAAAAAAAATAAGCTGTCAGTAAAAAGTTATGACTGTTTAAAACATTGTAGTAGTTTACGCGCTAATCTCAGGAACTACCGGTTCGATTTGAAAAATTATTTTTGTTATGGATAGCCCATTTATCAAGGATGGTTTTAGGATAAATAACATCACCCTACAACCAATAGGGGCGGAGCAATAAAGACAAATGTTGTAAAAATGGGAAATATTATTCAAACTATTTTTACGCGTACAAAGTCGTAGGCACAGCTAGTATAATATTTAATAAAATTCATCTATAACCCCGCGCCACATGCGACATGACATAACATGCATAGATTAGTCCAAAATGTGCAATGGATACAATGATATCAAGAACATTTTTCGGATGAAAAGGTAAAAAACATGACTTTTCATTCAGTCATAACTTTTTACTGACAGCATATTTTTGATTGCGGTTTGGTTATAATGAATCAGTATTTAGTAGACTATTTTACTACATAGGTCTCGTTAGTGGTGGACATTTGGACCACACTCCATACATTTTTGGTCATTGTCTTTACACGTAAAGATAGATAGATAGATAGATAGATAAATGGTTTATTTGCAAAACACATTGACACACAAGAAGCAAAACGTAAGATTAATAAACACAGGAGAAGCAGGAAAGATATAGTACATACATTACAAAGAGAAAGAAAGAAAATCCTGCGCGCTAAGGTATAAGTGTGCCGCAGCGATGCAAAAAAGCAGAGAGCTCAGTGTAGACACTGCTCTGAAATGAGCAGAACACTGATTTTCAGCTCTTGCTTGAAAAAAAAAGAAGGAAAAAAAAAAGAAGGAAGACGCACGTGTATGGTAGAGAATAAGGTGGTGAAAATGTTGTAATATTGTAAACCTACATAAATATCAGAAATTAGGGAGATATAATAACTATAACTATTGTCCTTATATGGTTTATACATACATATACCATCAGTCTATGAAAAGGAGTATGAGACTTAATAGTGTAAAATGGAGAATTTAGTTACCTACTTTATATCCACAATAATTTTACATGGCTGAAAATGATGATGACGATGAATATAATATAATATTTTTACATAAATAACAAATACAAAATAATGAGGCATTCAGTGTGCAGGTGTATGATAANAAGGATTTGTTTAAATAGATGTTCTCCAGGGTCATTCAAGCGAGACTTTTGGGAATGCCACAAAAGGGTTCTGGACCATATTGTGTTCCCTCCGCTCGTCGCTTAGTTCGTCGGCATTTTCATTGCCACGATTCCCGCGTGACCTGGAACCCATTTCAGCGTTACTCTGTTACGTTCTCCTAGGGTTTTCAGTCGACTCATGCAGTTTTCTACCAACTTTGAGGTGATTAAGTTGGAGTTTAAGGCCATCAGCGCGCCCTGACTGTCTGAGTTAATGTAAATTATGTGGTTGGCATAATTTTTTCGCAACTTAATGCCGTTGATATACTAATAAATTGATTGAATAACTCAATACTAACTATATTAACAGTTAATCAAGTACATTATTCAAGTTGCTGCTTGGTCTAGTAAATAATTGAACGCGAGAGGCGTCGGTCCCTCTTGCTGTCAAGAAAAAAAATCCCCGCCTTCGTCTGGCAGACAACCCACACTATTGGACTACACTTTAAGCGAATCACACACACAGAGTTTGGCAAATATATCTCGGAATGCAAAGGGAACCACAACCTCTGGAAGGCAACAAAGTACCTCCCTCAAAGTGTTCTCCGCTTATTATGTCCGATTATACATGAGTGCGAACTGACAAGAAAAATCTCAGACCTTTGCTATTTGCTACATGACAAGCCGGTTTATTTAAACCCATTGACACGGATAATCCAAAAAATCCACATGAATTGTGGATTTTTCAAAAAAATAAGATCAAGCATTGAACTTGATCCGAGACTTGCAGCTATGATGCCTGCCTTTGATTCATCTGACCGATATCGGTCATGGTGACCACTTCGACTTAGCTGTCTTAGCGGCGCTGGTGCGCCCGAAGATGACTTACCTAGCCGATATTCGCGGCAAACTCCTCGCATATTGAGAGTTTTACATCATCGCGTTTTGCGTCGAGTTCACTTGACAATCTGAGGAGTGGACCGCCATGTTTCCGCTTACCCTCCTCAAGTTCAAAGTAGAAGATTGATTCCTACTACGCTAATTGAGGACGAAAGACGCAGGAGGACAAAGTGACTGACGTAGCCCACAGAATCGCTAAAATCAAGTGGCAGTGGGCGGGACACATATCTCGTAGAGCTGATGGACGCTGGGGTAGTAAAGTTCTTGAGTGGCAACCACGAGCCGAAAGACTTAGCGCGGGCAGGCCTCCCACTAGGTGGACCGACGATTTGGGGAAGGTCGCAGGAAGTGCCTGGATGCGAGCGGCGCAGGACGTCTTTCGGCTGAAACGAAAGAACTAACGCTAAGAGAGATGGCTAAACTAAAGAAATAGCAAAAATGAACCCTCGTAAAGCACTTGCATTTGATCTGATCACCATGAAGTCCATGGTATTGACAATGACCACACTGAGTGAGAACCTCGCAAGTCTCTTAACTTTGGAAATGATCCATAAGACTGGCAAGTCGCCTAACGAATTCTCTTATCACTCAATTAATCTGACATTATATTGTAAGCTTATTATGTTGCTCATTAAATAAAATATAAATAAATAAATAAATCTAGACCTCGACCCATTGCTGCAATCAACCTACATTAACATCCTGGACCGTAGGATAACATAGAAAGACCATAAATATAAATAAAACAGAACTGAATATAATATTCCACCAACAGTCAGCTAATCTAACATTAACTATGTGCCTCCAAACAGCTCAAAAATACATGTTAAGGGTACTTTTATCGGCACATTGGTACGCTCGCCTTTAGGAAATACTTACACGAGAACCTGATCTCCGCCAAACCCGCTATCCAAATATCAAAGTATCTATGATCAAGAGAGCTAATTTACTAGGATAAACCACTGCTCTAGTGGCTCAAACCCCAACCAACTGCAAATCACCTGATTAGTCTTGACGACAGATACTAAAAAAGCAGATTAAAAAAAAATACCCAATGAACAAAGGTCAAACAAGGTCACGCCGCCGACGCCGCCGCCGCCGAGGTCAAAAAGTCGGCGCGCCGCCGCCGGCCAATTGTATATCGGCGCCCACCTCTAGTTAGGAAGCTGGAAAAAATGCTTGTTTGTCGCTTTTAAGACGCTCTTCTTGACTAAGTACCTGTGGGCGGCGCACGAGGCACGGTTTCGTAAATATGACGTCTGTGTACAAAAAAATGCGAAAAGTAAGTTTTTCGTCAAAATTTTATTTCAATTTAAATCATGTTTTAGTATATGTGCACTGTTGTGTTATTTTTTCTCAAGTTGCATGGTTATTCAGGTCTCAAAATGTAGCACTGATATTTTGTGTGCGCATCGTGTTTAGAAAATAAAAAAAAAAATATTCGAACCNCGTCTAAGGGGGGGGGGGGGGGCAAGTCACTGCCGCGAAAGCGGCAGTTTTATGTTTATGTACAGCCAATGGGGCCCGCATGGATCTAGATGTTCCGTCACCGTATCTTTCATGGAAGTTACGAAATTGCAATTTAGCGAACAGATATTCAGGCTTTCCAAATTTGACTATGTCAAACATGAGAGATGCCAAATACAGTCGCCTACGATTTTCCATGTTGAGCATAGAAGCATTGGCCAAGTATGGTGACACGTGTGTGCGTGGAGGTATATCAAAACAGAAACGACAGCATGCGTTCTGTATACGCTGGATGACTCGTTTGGATTTACCAAGCAAGCGAGGTCCATAAACTAGGTCACCATAGTTAAGCCTTGAATTAAAAAATAAATAAATAAATTTTAAAGCTACTTCATTGGTTCTTTTGAAACGCTAGAAAGCAGAGTGTCGTGTGTGGACACATTTTTTATTAAATTTTGACTAGTTTATCAAAACTATTTCACAAAGATGATTTCTGTTCCAAATATATCAAACAACAATGACTCACGCTATAATGGGATTACCTTACACACTAAAATATTTTTCATAATGATCTTCGTACTTTTGTCTTTAGATTTTGGCTTCGTCAATAATCCATCAGTAAAAATTAGACGATTAATCTAGGCGCTAACTCTTGTATAGGGGAGACCTAGGAGAGTTGTGACAGAGGTGAGTTGTGACAAGGACGATTTCTCCTTACTTAATATAGTTAGGAAGCTGGTAAAAACGCTGGTTTGTCGCATTTAAGACGCTCTTCTTGACTAAGTACCTGCGGGCGGCGCATGAGGCACGGTTACGTAAATATGACGTCTGTGTACAAAAAAATGCGAAAAGTAAGTTTTTCTTCAAAATTTTATTTCAATTTATATCATGTTGTAGTATATGTGCACTGTTGTGTTATTTTTTCTCAAGTTGCATGGTTATTCAGGTCTCAAAATATAGCACTGATCTTTTGTGTGCGCATCGTGTTTAGAAAATAAAAATTATTATTCGAACCAAGTCGTCATTTTAAACACCTAGGAGAGTTGTGACAGGCTGTCACAACTCTCCTAGCTTACTGAATTTTTCTGATGGGCCATTTCCACGATGTTTTTAGGTGTTTTTTTTGTGTGTTAGTAGGTT